GCACGGCACCTGGCGCCGCTCCGTCCCTTGCTGTGGCAGCAACTGCTGCTCCTCCAGGCGGGTGTGGCGAGCCGACCTTGGACGCAAACCCACACACCGACGGCTGTGGCGCCACCTGCTGCCGTTCCAGACAGCATTCCAGAAGCAGAGAAGGGCATTATAGGGCGGGGATACGGGCCCCCTCTTCCCCTTCCACTGCCTCTTCCTCTGCCCCTTCCTGTGACGGGCCCACTGCAGTACGGGCCTGGGAATTGACATGGGGTTGCACCCGAGGCTGCATGGCAGAGCATGCCTGCTGGCATGCCCACGCTGGGAGGGGACGCCATGCCCATGCATGCGCCCAGTGCCGGCATGGGGTTGGGCATGGAGGCGGGCATGGGTGTGGGGGCTGCCATGGGCATGAGCGCAGACATGGGCATGGGCATGGAGGTTGCCTGTGTCACTGGGGAGGGTTGGGGGGGGAGTGGAGGGGCGGAGGGCACAGATAGTTGGGCGGGCGCAAAGGGAGGGGAGGAGGAGGGCGCAGGATGGGTGGGAGCGGGGGCATTGGGTGTAGGGGGTGGGAAGGGGGGTAGTGTGTGGGGGAGGGGAGGCCGAGGAGGAGGAGGAGGGGGTAGCAGTGGGAAAAGAGGGGGGACGGGATCAGGAGCAGGATCTGCCACGTATGCACCTGTCCACGTGTATTCGTTTGAGCAGCTCAAGGAGATCGGCTTGCAGTCCGTCCAGTACCAGCGTGACATGTGGCGCACCATGAATGGCAGCACGCAGCTGGCCCTGGAGGAGCTCATGCGAGATGTGACTAGAGGGGGGGCGGGGGGAGGGGGAGGGGGAGGAGGAGGAGGAGGAGGGGGGAGAGGAGGGGGAGGATCTGGGGAGAAGGGGTCAAGGCGCAAGGGGCGGAAGAATGCAGGGGGGCAGGAGCAGAGTGGGAGGGGGGGAAGGGGCCGGGGGGTGTGCATGGGGAGGGCGGTAGCAGCGGCGGAAATATCTGGGGCGGGCAGAGTGTGCAGGTGGGAGGCGATGTGAGGATGAGCACGGAGACCCACATGGCTGGCTTGGCAGCTGACGCCAGAAGCTATGCCATCACTTCTGCCGCTGCTGCTGCTGCTGCAACAATGTGTGTTGCCAGCAGTTGCAAGAGTGCTGATGGTGCTGCCAGTCCGACAGATGCGAATGATGCTTCCACTGCTGGGGATGCTGACACTGGCGCCACTGCCAGGAATGCAGGTGATGCCACTGCCACTGCTGCAGCACCTGCCGCACAAGACACCAGAGGAGAGGTGAGTGAGGCAGGCCAAACTGCTGCTGCTGGTACTGCTGCTGCTGCTGCTGCTGCTGCTGGTGCTACTGCTGTTGCTGCTGGTGCAGAGAGCACAGTTGGTGGTGCGATAGGCAAGGAGGAGCCGGGGTACCAGTGCTTGCGCTGCTGCTGCTGCTGGTGGTACCTTGGGTGGCAGCGGGGATGGCATGGATAATCTGGAGCGAGTGACTTGCACCGTCAGCACCAGGAAACGCAGGGGGCGTATGAAGAGGAAGAGGAGGAATTCGAGGAGGAGGATGAGGAGGTGGAGGCACTGCAGCCGCGGGCTCTGCCAGTATATGGCGAACCTGACTTCTCCCAGCCACACCCCCTCGATGGTCTCGAGTACCTGCGCCGAGTCAGGTGATGATTGTTCAGGATGGACTTTCAGGTGTAGGTTCAGGATTCAGGGGTTGACGGTTTAGGAAGTAGGCTCTAGGCTTTGGGTTAAGACATTGAGCTATCACCGGATGTCTCGAGTCAGGTGACAATGCTTGCGGTTACAGGTTGAGGGATTAAAGTTCAGAGTTTAGGGACTGGGGTTAACCTGCCAGCCACTCCCATGCATTGGGCTCGAGTACCTGCACCCGTTGTGTGTGCGCAAGGTGGTTCAGGGTCAAGGTTTGGGCTGGTTACATGACAGTTTGGGGTAGGAGTCCAGGTGATGAGCGCTTGGAGCCAGCTAGGAGCTCTTATTTTACCGCTTTCTTTGCCTGAGCATTCACCCTCATCTGACTCATATGTTGTGGCTTCCCTTTTCAAATCGCTGTCCCTCCGTTGAACTCCCCCCCCCCACCTCCCCCCATCCCAGGTGGGAAAGGGAACGCGTGCCAAAAGTGTTGGTCGCAGCAGCCAATGACAAGGCACCACCTGGCAGCAAAGCCAACAGCAGCAGCAACAGCAGCAGCAACAGCAACAGCACCAGCAGCAGCAGTGAGCCCGTGGTCTTGGCTGCACGCTACCTGCCTCGATTTGCCCCTGTGCCTGCGTGCCCCGTGCTGCTGCTTCCCTCCCACAAGTGGCGCCTCTACCTGCAGGCTGCCTTCAGCTACCTGCTCCAGGTGAGGCGCTGCAGGCTGTGTTTCCCTTAGTATTCGTCACACATGATATACGTTTTTTTCTCCTGCTTTCAACGAGGTATGGATTATATCTTTCTATCTGCCTGTTTTCGGAGTGGGTGAGTGTTGTCACGTGTGACAACGCATGTCACATGGCAGGCATCTCTCGGCTAGCATAGCCTACTACAGACCCCATCATGTGCACCTTTAAATTCTTTTCCCCCCTCAAGTAGTTGCCAACTCACTACTTCTGCTCATAATCTTTGGATACCCCTCCCTCCATCCCACCCTCCTCTTCGCACCCCCCTCGCACTGCCATTTCTTCCTCCCATCCTTCACTGGATGCGGATGCTATCGGTGTTGGTGCTATAGCTGCTGATGCTACATCTACTAATGCTACATTTGCTGATGCTACTGCTGCTGATGCTAGAGATGCTGATGCAATATTTGCTGATGCTACAACTGCTGATGCTACATCTGCTGAAGCTACAGCTGTTGATGCTACAGCTACTAATGCTACAGCTGCTGATGCTACAGCTGCTGATGCTATATCTGCTGATGCTACAGCTGCTGATGCTACAGTTGCTGATGCTCCTACCGCTGATGCTATATATGTCGATGCTATAGCTGCTGATGCTACGGTCGCTGATGCTACAGATGCCGATGCTACATTGGTTGAGGCTGAGGGTAACAGTATGGCTGACGTCGGTACTGATTTCAGTGCCAATTTTAATGCTGATACTGACACGGACATAAAAGATGACCCCGAGGTGGATGCTGACATGGAGGCAGCACTGGATGAGATGATCAACTACTCCGGTCCCCTACCTCTGTGGCTGCCGCCTGATGATGAAAGCAGTAACCTAGAACATGGTGCCGCTGATGGCTCCCACATGCATGCACATGCACAGCCATCCATGCTCGTACCATGGCCATCAGATGCTGACGTGGCAGCCATGGAGTGCGTGCTCCCAGGCCTGGCCAATCAGCTGCTCCGTTGCTTGGCACGGTGCTGCACTGCAATGCTATTGGCCGAGCCACCCTTCTGCGTGCCCACGTAAACTGGGCCATCAACCAATCGGCAGTGGACATGTGGCGCGGGCTGTGGCTGGTGGCGTGGGCGGCAGGGGTGGACGAGCCAATAGAGGTGGAGACTGCAGCAGCGCTGAGGGAGCTGCTAAGGAAGTGCGCTCGGCTGAGGGCTTCATTACAGTCACAGGAGGATGAGGGGCTGGCAATGCTGAATGTGCTTATAGAGATTGCAGGGGGGTACTTCAAGCAGGGGTCCAAGGAGGAGACGGAGCAGGCTGTATGGGAAAAGGGAGGTTCTGAAAGGGAAGGATTGGCAGGGGAAGGAGCGGATCAGGGTGTGGAGGAAGGGTCTGGTGGAGAGGGCGCACGAAGGGACCAGAAAGGCCTATATATGCCAGTTCGTGTGGTGGATACAGGGGCCGTTGAGGTGAGCAAGGAGGTAGAGGCTGTGGTGTAGCTGGTAAAGACGCTGAAGAAATTGGTGGATGGTAGTGATGTCATGTCACTGTAAGATGCAATCAGGGGTTTCAGTCATGGCACTTTTGCCTTTTACCGAACAATGTGCAAGGAGGCAAGATGTACCCGAACTTACAAATGGACCAAACATGGCGGGGTGTCATCGAGAGGCTAAATTGAATTCGGAACAGTCGATCTGAAAAAGTTACCACTGTTAACTGTGCAGTGCGGTTTGGTGAAGCTTGTTTGTAGATGAAGTGGAGTGGCCTTGGTTGAACTTCAAACCCTTGTATACCGTACGCTCTAAGTTTACTTCTGTAACGAACGCCCTTCGTCGGGTAGCTGGTAGCCAGCAAATTTTCTCGCTGGGCGAGCTGAGGTAGGTACACATCTGAGGAAGGTACAATAGAAAGTTCACGGAAATATCGTACTGCGGACGAACGTTTTTCCTGGTTGACAACACTGCTGGCCCTTCTCCCCTCCTATTTTCCAAATTATGAATTATTTGGCTGCGTTCTGCAGGCAGAAAAGGAAAGTGCAGATTACATCAGAGCACCTTCCGAAAGCCTGATTTTTTGCTTCGGATCGAGGGTCAGCCCGCAAAATTTCGTCCAAACCTGGCACAAGGTACCCGAACCTAGTTACATCAACATGCCTGCAGAACAGGTCCATGTACAGATGACATCTACGTCAGGGAAACACCCCCCTCGCTTCCCTCCCTGGCAAATTTGACGCAAAGGTGACGCAATGCTGACGTTCGCTAAATCGCGGAGTTCACCTTGCGTGTGGCATTACATCAGCCTCAATTTGGCTCCTCTCTCCTTTCGCTCGCGCTTTCCACAGTTTGGCGCGTTGCTTCCAAGAGAGGTTTGGAAAGTGCACCTGGTTTGAGTGGTAACCAGTGCTCTAGAAGTCGCTTGAGGAGCTTCCTCAATGTCGACGTCGACGTCGACGTCAAATGCCTGTAGAACACAGCCATTGAGTGAGAGCGCTCTGATCCTCGTGTCACAAACTCCCGCAGTTTCGCCGACACGGTTTACGTCCGAGCACGCCCTTCCGACGTGTCAACAGAATTGATGAGTTCTCGAGGCAAATTGCTGATTCAAGCAGGACGTGTTCAGTTCACTAGCTGAGACCTGCGGAAAAGCATGCTCCACGCTTGAGACAGCATTTGTCTCGAGATCGCGCGGGTATGAAGCGCGGATGCTGCCAAAGGTTGAATCAGCAAGCGCTTTTTGCCTGCGTTATCTGCGCTGTCTGGCCTTTCCCCTCTCCCAAGCTACGTTAATAGCGCACTGCCGCCGCCAACACATTAGGCTCAGACCAAACGGCAACACCACGCTACGAATCTGAAGCAGCTGCCTCGTCAGCCACGTGAGTTTCCACAAGAAGCCCCCAGCCGCTCTTTGTCGCAACGGGGGCTCGAGCGGCCAGCGTCATCCGCTGCTCCTTCTCCCTCGTGTGGCACCAACACCCGGCCAACCTCAGGTTCCACCTTCGCGTTTCTCTCCTCGGCGCCGTACCTCGTTTGCCGCTACTTATGTTGGCCGGAGCAGCGCGCCGCAAGGGCCAGCAGCGCTTCTCCGTGCTGCTGCTCCCTTCCTGATCACCGACTGCACAGCCACCCACCCTTTCCGTCTCGCCTCGCCTCGCCTCGCCTCACCTCGCCTCGCCTCGCGCCTCTCCGCGTCTGCCGCTAGCCGCTATGTTGTCCGGAGCGGCGCGTCGCAAGGGCCAGCAGCGGTTCTCGCTCCTCCTGCTGGACGACGGCGACCACTACATCACGGACTGGGTCGCCACGTGTCACCTCGTGGATGGCCAGCCGCGCGTGCTGGCGGGCGGGCGGCTGCGGCTGTGCATGAAGTCGCTCTTCTTCGAGGCGCAGGACCCCGCCGTCCCCATCTTCATGTTCCCCATGCCGCACCTCCTCCTCGCCTTCCACCCCGCCTCTAACCGCCGCTACACGTCTCAGCTCGGCGCCAGGCTAGCGGCAGAGGGGCGCATTCGAGGGGAGTGGGCGGGGGAAGGGGCGGGGGGTGGCGGGGAAGAGGGAAGCGGCGGAAACGGGGGGGATTGGGAAAGGGGGAGAGGGCGGAGGGGCGATGGGGGGGTGTTAGGGAATGCGGATGTGGTGTACGTGACAACGAGCATGTACGTGAAGATGAAGGCAGGCGGGCAGGACGTGCCGTACGAGTTTGAGAAGAAGGAGCTCGACGAGGGCGACCTGCCGTCCACGTGGGCCTTCTCACTGGACTACACGTCCACCACCCGGGTAGGTTCATTCAGGTGCCACTGGGGGCGATTGGTGCCGCAACAAACAGAAATTGGTGAGGGTGACCCGCTTTCCGCCTGGGCACCAGCGGGGTACAGCCTTTCAGGCTACCACTGTCTCTCCCCTCCTCATGTGTCCCGCCGCCCGTCCCAACCTTTCCGTAGCCCCTCAAATCCGCGCCCTCTCTTCTCTTACCCCCTTTCCTAAACCGCCGCTCCACCCCCTTCTTCTGCCTTCTGACCTCCCCATTCTTTCCCCCGATTACCCATCCCCTCCCCTCCTTCCCATTCCCTCCCCTCCTTCCCATTCCCTCCCCTCCTTCCCATCCCCTCCCCTCCTTCCCATTCCCTCCCCTCCTTCCCATTCCCTCCCCTCCTTCCCATTCCCTCCCCTCCTTCCCATTCCCTCCCCTCCTTCCACTTCCCTCCCCTCCTTCCACTTCCCTCCCCTCCTTCCACTTCCCTCCCCTCCTTCCACTTCCCTCCCCTCCTTCCACTTCCCTTCCTCACTTCCCCATTCCCTCCTGCTCTACCCATTCGCTTCCCCCTTCCCTCCCCCCTATGTCACCTCCTGGGTGCGCAGCTGCTGCCGTGCGAGCAGCACGGCATGGAGCTGCCTTCTGACCTCCCCATCCACTCTCCCTCTGCCCCCGTCACTCTCCCCTTCAGCTCGTGGACGAGGCCCTGCCTGTGCTGGGCGCGCACTGCTTGCCGACGAGCAGAGGGGCATGGATGGAGGTGCCGTCTCCTGACCTCCCCATGCCATCCCTTCCCTCCGCATGACCCCCTCTTCCCCCCGCATGACCCCTTCTTCCCGCCGCGCTCTCCTGACGCCAGTTGCTGGACGAGGCGCTGCCGGTGCTGGGCGTGCAGCTGCTGCCCTATGAGCAGCGCGACATGGAGGTGGCGCGCCGCCTCTCCCTCATGGAGGCCTCCGCGCCCTTCGACGTCAGCCGCCTCGTGGACCTCTCAGAGCACATTCTGCTGGACTGCCTGGCCAGCCAGGTATGCTTTTGGCCCCTCGAGGGAACGATCGCCTCTCCCTCGTGGAGGCCTCCACGCCCTTCGACGTCACCCAGCTTGTGCAGCCTTGGATGCCAGGAGGCTTTGCGAATGAACATAGCAGAGCACATTTTGCTGGAGCCATTGGGGTTGGTGGTCAATCACTTTGGTTACCATGAATGCTAGGTTGCTTCCAGGTGACTTCCAAGGCCTCAGCGGCTTCTGCGCCCTTGAATGCCATGCCAGGCGCCTCATTGACATATTTGAGGCATCTTAGCAAGAGGGCAGCTGGCGACCAAGGGCTGGCACCATGGACTGCCTTGCTACGCCAGTCACTTTCCACGTGCATCTAGGCACAGCCTATCTACCTTTGTTCCTGCTGACACGACGCGACGCACTTTGTGAACTCATTGCCATTCTGTTTCCTCTCTTTGCCAGGTTCGACCTCTGGTTCGGGAGCCAGGTCGCCTTGTGCTCACCCAGCAGCGGCTCTACTTCCAGGTGAGGTCCGGTGCAGGTAATACCTGTGGCTCTGCTTCCAAGAAACATCTGGTGCAAGTAGCACTGGCCGTCCCTCTCACCCGGGAGAGGCTGGATGCTGGCCAGCCGGTGCCTGCCGCTCTTGCTCTTATCCCTCCTGCACCACTTCTCCCCAAATCAATGCTTCTCCGACAATCCATTGTGGTTCTCCACTCTCCGCGTTCCCTCCATTCCGTTGGCATGCCATGAGCATTGACAGCCCCCCCCGCATCTGCCATCTACTCCTCCTCTCAGCCCTCGCCTCGATCTCCTGTCTCTCTCTCTGCACTCCACTCCCTTGACAGCCTTTGCACGCCATAAGCAGTGAGAGTCCTCTTCGCATCTTCCCGCTTCCTCTCCTCCTCTCCGCTGCGCGCCGCCGTCACTCCCTGCGCCCTCGCGGCCTTGAAATATTCTTCTCCTGCCCGGGCCAATCGCACCATGCCAGCTCAGCAGGAACAGGGGGAGGAGGGCTCGAAGGGGGAAGTGGCGCTGGTGGGAGAGGAGGGGGAAGCATGAGGAGCGGGGGGAGTGGGGGAAGTGGGTTGAGGGGAGGTGGAGGGCCGTTGGGGGATGGGAGCAGTGTGTTCTTTGTGTTCAACTCGGAGAAGGAGCGGGACCGAGCTGCGGACCTGCTGCTGAAGCTGCTGGGAGTGAGTGGGGAGTGGGTGATGGGAAAGGGTGAACAAGTGGTTTGATGTACGTGGATTGGATCGTTGTGTCAAGTGGTGGGTGGGTGGGTGCTGTGGGAGTTCATGGAATGGAATGCGCATTCGATGCAAAACACGCTGCTCACACTCATATGTCTCTTCTCCTCTCACCACCTCCCCTCCTCTCACCATCTCTGTCCCCCTCTCCCTGTCTCTTTTCTCTGCTTTTGAGTTGACGCAAAAACGCCCCCCCCTGTGTCTAGCGTCCCCCTGTCCCTCTCATCCTTCCCACTTCCCCCCCCCCTCTCCCCCCCCCTCTCCCCCCCCTCTATCCCCTCTGCTTGCTCCCCACCACCCCCCTTCCTCTGCCTCCAGCATCAACTGTCGGTCCACCCTGCCACCCGCCTCTCCCCTTGCCCCCAGCAGCGGTGCCAGCAACACTACTGGAAGCCCACCCTCCCCTCCCTTCCATGCCGCCATTTCTCACACTCCATTTCTCACACTCCATTTCTCACACTCCATTCCTCACACTCCATTTCTCACACTCCATTTCTCACACTCCATTTCTCACACTCCATTTCTCACACTCCATTTCTCACACTCCATTTCTCACACTCCATTTCTCACACTCCATTTCTCACACTCCATTTCCGTCCCTCACCCCCCAAGGAGCCTCAGGGTCCATCCAGCCCAGCAGCAGTGGCAGCATCGTTGCTGGAGGCTCACACACACGCACTGCAGGCCGTGACAGGGCTGTGGCAGGTGGGGCGGTGCCAGGGCTGTGGTGGGTGGGGCAGTGATGCATGTTCTTGTGAATATGTTGCCACGGTCAATGTACTGTTGTTAACAATGTTCAATGGTCATTGTTGCAACACCCGCAGGCGACCACACACCTTCTCTCCCTTCTGACCGCCTTCCCCGCCTCTCTCCTCCCCTGCTGCTCCCCCAGTCGGCCTGTCAGTGCATGCCTTCCCCACCCTTCAGTTGTGTGCCCGTGCCCTCCTCCATGTCCTTCCCCCGTCCCTCATCAACCCTGCCGTTTCTCCACTTGCGACTTTCTCTTCTTCCCCAACCTGCTGCCTTTCGTCCATTCCCTAGATCTAACCCGCACCCCATAACCAGTCTGCCCGCACCCCATAACCAGTCTGCCCGCACCCCATAACCAGTCTGCCCGCACCCCATAACCAGTCTGCCCGCACCCCGTAACCAGTCTGCCCGCACCCCATAACCAGTCTGCCCGCACCCCATAACCAGTCTGCCCGCACCCCATAACCAGTCTGCCCGCACCCCATAACCAGTCTGCCCGCACCCCATAACCAGTCTGCCCGCACCCCATAACCAGTCTGCCCGCACCCCATAACCAGTCTGCCCGCACCCCATAACCAGTCTGCCCGCACCCCATAACCAGTCTGCCCGCACCCCATAACCAGTCTGCCCGCACCCCATAACCAGTCTGCCCGCACCCCATAACCAGTCTGCCCGCACCCCATAACCAGTCTGCCCGCACCCCATAACCAGTCTGCCCGCACCCCCCAGTCTGCCCGCACCCCATAACCAGTCTGCCCGCACCCCGCTGCATCTCCAACCGCGACTATCTGCACTTCCCTCCCCCCTTCCCCTCCTCCCCCCTCTTCCCCTCTCCTCATCCCCCTCGCTCTATCCGCCCCTTACCCCAACATCAGTGCGCCCACATCTCCAATGGCGACCTCCTCCTTGCCCGCAGCCTCGTCCCTTCTGCCCATTCCCTCTCTCTACCTCCAACCCCGCATTCCCTCTCTCTACCTCCAACCCCCCAAACCCACCTCCTCCCCTCCCCCCCACCCTTCCCCCCCCCCCCCCCCCCCCCCCCGCCCTCCCCCTCCCGTCTCCCCCCCTCTCAGGCGGCGCGCATCTCCAACCGCGACTACCTGCTCTTCCTCAATTTGGCGGCGGGGCGCAGCGAGTGCGAGTTGGCGCAGTGGCCCGTGATGCCATGGGTGCTGGCGGACTACGGCTCGCAGCACCTCACACTGGACGACCCCACCACCTTCCGCGACCTCTCCAAGGTACGCTGCTCAATGGCGCCCGGGGAACGACCCCACCACCTTACTTTATGAACCATGGCACTCACGTGCTGAGCCTCCACGACCCCAGCACCTATTGAGACCTCTCCAGGTGCGCAGTTCGCCTCGTGGCTTTTGCCCTGCCTGCCTATCGCAGGCTGGATAACCCCACCTCCTTCAGAGCCCTCTCAATGCTGAGCACTAAATCTAGTGACTGTTAAGGAGGCACTCACCTCTATAACGCTTAACTCGTGCTTGACGTCATTGCTGATGCCATTGCTGACCTCATTGCTGACCTCGTCGCTTCGAGACTGGCGATCGAGAAATCGAGACTACCCTGGCTGTCCACATAGCCTGTCGCTTCTCCAGAGAAGCCTGCCCTGCCTTTAGACATGGGCAGATTAAATCGCATCGCATCGCTTTTAATCGCGTTTTTGCGATTGCGATGTTTTTTTTTCTATTATTATTATTCATCGCGCGATGTGATGTTTTTTTATCGCGCGATTTGATTTAAATCGCGTTTTAATCTCGCTGAAAATCGCGATTAAAATGCGATTTGCGATTTGTTTCCATCGCGCGCGATTTCGAAATACCACGGGGGCTCGCACCTGTCCTAAACCCAATACTAAACCGAATTATGTATCTAAACTACCGTCCACGACTGCCCTTGATCCAAATTTCCATCGGTGTTGGTTTTTTTTATCCGGTTTTCTGAGGTGTTTTTTAATTGAAGTAAAATGCGATGCGATTTTAAATCGCATGGCGCGATTTAAATAAACATCGCATGTGGTTTAAATAACATCGCGCCCAAAATGCGATGTGCGATTTAAAAATTTCACGAAATTAAATCGCGCGATGCGATTTCAAATCGCACCCCTGTGCGATGCGATTTAAATCGCAATCGCATTTTGATCATGTCTACCTGCCTTTCAATGAACGCCTCCTGAACTTCCATCATGCCCTACCCACCCGTCATCCCCTTCCCACCTACCTCCGTTTCTCTCTGCAGCCTGTCGGTGCTCTCAACCCGGCACGCCTAGCAGAGTTCAAAGAGCGGTATAGCGAGGTGAGGAGTGGTTGGATAAGGTGAGGGCTGTCTGTGTGTCTTTCGCCACACCCTCCTCTTTGCTGGCATGTCCATGTCCTCACCTCACCTGTTGCTCCGCTTCTCTTCATGTCGCCCCTTCCGCCTTGAAATTTAAAAAAAGGTGGTTTTCTTCATACCACCTTTTTTAAAATTCCAAGAGTTTTTTACAAGCACTCCACGAGTTTACATTTACAGGTGTCATCACACAGTTGCTGCCACGTATTGACACAATGGCACCTATTTGGTGTTCTATTGGACCCTCCTCTTTGCAGGCATGTCCATGTCCTCACCTCACCTGTTGCTCTGCTTCTCTTCATGTCGCCCCTTCCGCCTTGAAGCATGCCTGTTGCGCCCGTACTGACTTGTGCGCCCGTACTGACTTGTGCGCCCGTACTGACTTGTGCGCCCGTACTGACTTGTGCGCCTGTACTGACTTGTGCGCCCGTACTGACTTGTGCGCCCGTACTGACTTGTGCGCCCGTACTGACTTGTGCGCCCGTACTGACTTGTGCGCCCGTACTGACTTGTGCGCCCGTACTGACTTGTGCGCCCGTACTGACTTGTGCGCCCGTACTGACTTGTGCGCCCGTACTGACTTGTGCGCCCGTACTGACTTGTGCGCCCGTACTGACTTGTGCGCCCGTACTGACTTGTGCGCCCGTACTGACTTGTGCGCCCGTACTGATTTGTGCGCCCGTACTGACTTGTGCGCCCGTACTGACTTGTGCGCCCGTACTCACTTGTGCGCCCGTACTGACTTGTGCGCCCGTACTGACTTGTGCGCCCGTACTCACTTGTGCGCCCGTACTGACTTGTGCGCCCGTACTGACTTGTGCGCCTGTACTGACTTGTGCGTCCGTACTGACTTGTGCGCCCGTACTGACTTGTGCGCCCGTACTGACTTGTGCGCCCGTACTGACTTGTGCGCCCGTACTGACTTGTGCGCCCGTACTGACTTGCGCGCCCGTACTGATTTGTGCGCCCGTACTGACTTGTGCGCCCGTACTGACTTGTGCGCCCATACTGACTTGTGCGCCATGACGCAACCGACACCTCGCACCCATCCCTCTCACGTCACTCCAGATGCCTCGAGAAGAGGGTGGGTCAGAGCGCGCCAAGCCGTTCCTCTACGGCACGCACTACTCCACCCCGGGGTACGTTGCACCGTGCTTTGCCCAGACTGTTTCCCGGGGGCGGTGGCGTATTTTGAGTCCACTCAAAAGACTCCGGGGTACGTTGGATGCTAGAGTTGTTTCTGGGGGTCTTCTGACCACATTGCTTCCTGCACTCGCTTTGTGAGCTGGGACGCACTAAGATGAAGGTGAAGAGAATCAACCACTTGGCTTGGTGGTGATGCCTTCTCTCTGCCAGTCCACACGCGTGGCATTTGCAGCCCTGGAGCCTGCTTCTGGGACTCACCTCTCCTCCACGTTATGCCTGCCATGCCGGTTGCTCCCCTATTGGTGCCCTCCACGCTGCTGCTTCCTTTCCCAGATTCGTTTCATTTTCTGCCATCCGTCCCGCATGCGCAACGCTGTTCGATATCTAAAGTTGCAGATTCTACGACCCCACATCCACCATCGCATAATGCTGTGCGCATCTGCCGCTGCACATCCCGCACCCATTCACCATTCACGTGTGCAGCTATGTACTCTATTGGCTCGTGCGCTCTGCACCAGCGCACATGCTGCGACTCCAGGTGAGCCTTCCCAGGCAGCTGAGGCCCCGCAGGTGAACCCCACAGCTGAGGCCCCACTGGTGAACCCCCCAGGTGAACCCCACAGGTGAACCCCCCAGGTGAACCCCCCAGGTGAACCCCACAGGTGAACCCCACAGGTGAACCCCACAGGTGAACCGCCCAGGTGAACCCCCCAGGTGAACCCCTCAGGTGAACCCCACAGGTGAACCCCTCAGGTGAACCCCTCAGGTGAACCCCTCAGGTGAACCCCCCCAGGTGAATCAATCAGGTGAACCCCTCAGGTGAACCCCACAGGTGAACCCCACAGGTGAACCCCACAGGTGAACCCCACTGGTGAACCCCACGGGGGAACTCCACAGGTGAACCCCACAGGTGAACCCCACAGGTGAACCCCCCAGGTGAACCCCACAGGTGAACCCCCCAGGTGAACCCCCCAGGTGAACCCCACAGGTGAACCCCACAGGTGAACCCCACAGGTGAACCCCCCAGGTGAACCCCACAGGTGAACCCCTCAGGTGAATCCCACTGGTGAACCGCCCAGGTGAACCCCCCAGGTGAACCCCTCAGGTGAACCCCACAGGTGAACCCCTCAGGTGAACCCCTCAGGTGAACCCCTCAGGTGAACCCCCCCAGGTGAATCAATCAGGTGAACCCCTCAGGTGAACCCCACAGGTGAACCCCACAGGTGAACCCCACAGGTGAACCCCACTGGTGAACCCCACGGGGGAACTCCACAGGTGAACCCCACAGGTGAACCCCACAGGTGAACCCCACAGGTGAACCCCTCAGGTGAACCCCTCAGGTGAACCCCTCAAGTGAACCCCACAGGTGAACCCTCAGGTGAACCCCTCAGGTGAACCCCACAGGTGAACCCCTCAGGTGAACCCCTCAGCTGAACCCCTCAGCTGAACCCCTCAGGTGAACCTTACAGGTGAACCCCTCAGGTGAACCCCTCAGGTGAACCCCTCAAGTGAACCCCACAGGTGAACCCTCAGGTGAACCCCTCAGGTGAACCCCACAGGTGAACCCCTCAGGTGAACCCCTCAGCTGAACCCCTCAGCTGAACCCCTCAGGTGAACCTTACAGGTGAACCCCTCAGGTGAACCCCTCAGGTGAACCCCTCAGGTGAACCCCTCAGGTGAACCCCTCAGGTGAACCCCTCAGGTGAACCCCTCAGGTGAACCCCTCAGTTGAACCCCACAGGTGAACCCCTCAGTTGAACCCCCCAGGTGAACCCCACAGGTGAACCCCACAGGTGAACCCCTCAGGTGAACCCCACAGGTGAACCCCACAGGTGAACCCCACACGTGAACCCCACTGGTGAACCCCACAGTTGAACTCCACAGCTGAACCCCACAGGTGAACCCCACAGGTGAACCCCACAGGTGAACCCCACAGGTGAACCCCACAGGTGAACCCCACTGGTGAACCCCACAGGTGAACTCCACAGGTGAACCCCACAGGTGAACCCCACAGATGCAACCCTCAGGTGAACCCCTCAGGTGAACCCCTCAGGTGAACCCGTCAGGTGAACCCCTCACGTGAACCCCTCAGCTGAACCCCACAGCTGAACCCCTCAGGTGAACCCCTCAGGTGAACCCCTCAGGTGAACCCCTCAGGTGAATCCCTCAGGTGAACCCCACAGGTGAACCCCTCAGGTGAACCCCTCAGGTGAACCCCTCAGTTGAACCCCCCAGGTGAACCCCTCAGGTGAACCCCTCAGTTGAACTCCACAGTTGAACCGCTCAGGTGAACCCCTCAGGTGAACCCCTCAGGTGAACCCCTCAGTTGAACCCCCCAGGTGAACCCCACAGGTGAACCCCTCAGGTGAACCCCACAGGTGAACCCCACAGGTGAACCCCACAGGTGAACCCCTCAGGTGAACCCCTCAGGTGAACTCCTCAGGTGAACCCGTCAGGTGAACCCCACACGTGAACCCCTCACGTGAACCCCACAGGTGAACCCCACAGGTGAACCCCACAGGTGAATCCCTCAGGTGAACCCCACAGGTGAACCCCTCAGGTGAACCCCTCAGGTGAACCCCACAGGTGAACCCCACAGGTGAACCCCTCAGGTGAACCCCTCAGGTGAACCCCTCAGCTGAACCCCTCAGGTGAACCTTACAGGTGAACCCCTCAGGTGAACCCCTCAGGTGAATCCCTCAGGTGAACCCCTCAGGTGAACCCCTCAGTTGAACTCCACAGTTGAACCGCTCAGGTGAACCCCTCAGGTGAACCCCACAGGTGAACCCCACAGGTGAACCCCACAGGTGAACCCCTCAGGTGAACCCCACATGTGAACCCCTCACGTGAACCCCTCAGGTGAACCCCACAGGTGAACCCCTCAGGTGAACCCCTCAGGTGAACCCCACAGGTGAACCCCACAGGTAAACCCCACAGGTAAACCCCACAGGTGAACTCCACAGGTGAACCCCACAGGTGAACCCCACAGGTGAACCCCACAGGTGAACCCCACAGGTGAACCCCTCAGGTGAACCCCTCAGGTGAACCCCTCAGGGGAACCCGTCAGGTGAACCCCACACGTGAACCCCTCACGTGAACCCCACAGGTGAACCCCACAGGTGAACCCCTCAGGTGAACCCCACAGGTGAACCCCTCAGGTGAACCCCACAGGTGAACCCCTCAGGTGAACCCCACAGGTGAACCCCACAGGTGAACCCCACATGTGAACCCCACACGTGAACCCCTCACGTGAGCCCCACAGGTGAACCCCACAGGTGAACCCCTCAGGTGAACCCCTCAGGTGAACCCCACAGGTGAACCCCACAGGTGAACCGCACAGGTGAACCCCACTGGTGAACCCCACAGGTGAACTCCACAGGTGAACCCCACAGGTGAACCCCACAGGTGAACCCCACAGGTGAACCCCACAGGTGAACCCCTCAGGTGAACCCCTCAGGTGAACCCCTCAGGTGAACCCCTCAGTTGAACTCCACAGTTGAACCGCTCAGGTGAACCCCTCAGGTGAACCCCTCAGGTGAACCCCACAGGTGAACCCCACAGGTGAACCCCACAGGTGAACCCCACTGGTGAACCCCACAGGTGAACCCCACAGGTGCACCCCTCAGGTGAACCCCTCAGGTGAACCCCTCAGGTGAACCCGTCGGGTGAACCCCACATGTGAACCCCTCACGTGAACCCCACAGGTGAACCCCACAGGTGAACCCCTCAGGTGAACCCCTCAGGTGAACCCCTCAGGTGAACCCCTCAGGTGAATCCCTCAGGTGAACCCCACAGGTGAACCCCTCAGGTGAACCCCTCAGGTGAACCCCACAGGTGAACCCCACAGGTGAACCCCACAGGTGAACCCCACAGGTGAACCCCACACGTGAACCCCACACGTGAACCCCTCACGTGAGCCCCACAGGTGAACCCCACAGGTGAACCCCTCAGGTGAACCCCTCAGGTGAACCCCTCAGGTGAACCCCACAGGTGAACCCCACTGGTAAACCCCACAGGTGAACTCCACAGGTGAACCCCACAGGTGAACCCCACAGGTGAACCCCACAGGTGAACCCCTCAGGTGAACCCCTCAGGTGAACCCCTCAGGGGAACCCGTCAGGTGAACCCCACACGTGAACCCCTCACGTGAACCCCACAGGTGAACCCCACAGGTGAACCCCACAGGTGAATCCCTCAGGTGAACCCCACAGGTGAACCCCTCAGGTGAACCCCTCAGGTGAACCCCTCAGTTGAACCCCACAGTTGAACCCCTCAGGTGAACCCCTCAGGTGAACCCCTCAGTTCAACCCCCCAGGTGAACCCCACAGGTGAACCCCTCAGGTGAACCCCACAGGTGAACCCCACAGGTGAACCCCACACGTGAACCCCACACGTGAACCCCTCACGTGAGCCCCACAGGTGAACCCCACAGGTGAACCCCTCAGGTGAACCCCTCAGGTGAACCCCTCAGGTGAACCCCACAGGTGAACCCCACTGGTAAACCCCACAGGTGAACTCCACAGGTGAACCCCACAGGTGAACCCCACAGGTGAACCCCACAGGTGAACCCCTCAGGTGAACCCCTCAGGTGAACCCCTCAGGGGAACCCGTCAGGTGAACCCCACACGTGAACCCCTCACGTGAACCCCACAGGTGAACCCCACAGGTGAACCCCTCAGGTGAACCCCACAGGTGAACCCCTCAGGTGAACCCCACAGGTGAACCCCTCAGGTGAACCCCACAGGTGAACCCCACAGGTGAACCCCACATGTGAACCCCACAGGTGAACCCCTCACGTGAGCCCCACAGGTGAACCCCACAGGTGAATCCCTCAGGTGAACCCCACAGGTGAACCCCTCAGGTGAACCCCTCAGGTGAACCGCTCAGGTGAACCCCACAGTTGAACCGCTCAGGTGAACCCCTCAGGTGAACCCCACAGGTGAACCCCACAGGTGAACCCCACTGGTGAACCCCACAGGTGAACCCCACAGGTGCACCCCTCAGGTGAACCCCTCAGGTGAACCCCTCAGGTGAACCCGTCGGGTGAACCCCACATGTGAACCCCTCACGTGAACCCCACAGGTGAACCCCACAGGTGAATCCCTCAGGTGAACCCCTCAGGTGAACCCCTCAGGTGAACCCCTCAGGTGAACCCCACAGGTGAACCCCTCAGGTGAACCCCTCAGGTGAACCCCTCAGTTGAACTCCACAGTTGAACCGCTCAGGTGAACCCCTCAGGTGAACCCCTCAGGTGAACCCCTCAGTTGAACCCCCCAGGTGAACCCCACAGGTGAACCCCTCAGGTGAACTCCACAGGTGAACCCCACAGGTGAACCCCACAGGTGAACCCCACAGGTGAACCCCTCAGGTGAACCCCTCAGGTGAACCCCTCAGGTGAACCCGTCAGGTGAACCCCACACGTGAACCCCTCACGTGAACCCCACAGGTGAACCCCACAGGTGAACCCCTCAGGTGAACCCCACAGGTGAACCCGACAGGTGAATCCCTCAGGTGAACCCCTCAGGTGAACCCCACAGG